AAGTTAACAATCATTAACAATCCTAAGCAGGTCATTGTACTGGTAGAAAAAAGGTTAATAATTGTGGAATTCCAGTTCCCATGACACTTGGCCAAGCAACTGCAACAAATGAGCTTGCAGTGGCGGACTTGTTCCCTATTTTCTTTAGTGAAGTAACTTAGTAGTCTTATGTTGTCTTATTGACGGCTGTTTTGCCAATAAAGATCATTCTTTTATTAGTAGTAATTTACCGCCCTGGTTTTCTGAGGCTGATATTAAAATATTATTGAGTTCCTGTCCCTGATGATCTGATGATTTACCTGGTGGTTTTATAAAGTCTTACGCAGAAGAATTAGCTCCTCCTCTTTTCTTGTTAATCTGCTTTCTATTGCAGAGAAAACTACATTTCCTGCAGTTTGGAAAGAAGCCTATATTGTACCCATTTTTAAATCCGGAAACAGGCATTTGGTAACAATTATCGTTTGATATCGATTTTATCTAAAATGTTTAAAAATCTTATTTATAAATATGTTTATTTCACAATTAAGCCTCCCCTTTTAGTTGAACAATATGGATTCTTACCCGGTAGGTCTGTGGAGCCCAGCTTAATTACATACATTGATTTTAATCAATCTTCTTTAAATAGTTGCTATCAAGTAGATTCCATCTACTCCGACTTCAGTAAGGCTTTTGATAAGATCGATCACAATATTTTAATTAAAAAGCTGTCAACATTTCCTTTATCCTCTGCTTTGATCAATTGGAATAAATCTTACATCTCGAATAGAAGTCACGCTATTCGTGTGGGGTAGTATAGGGTAGTCACCTTGAACCCCTTTTGTTTCTGATTTATATTAATGATATTGGATCATGTTTCTTAGATTCAAAGTTTTTATTTTATGCGGACGATTGCAAGAAATATTCTAAAATCTGTACTAGTGTTGATTGCACTTTGTTACACAATGACCTCCCCGTTTTCATGATTTCTGTTGACACAATAAATTGTTTCTTAATGATGATAAGCGCAACCAAATTTCTTTCAGTAGAAGAAGTACAATGTTCAGTACTCATATTCCCTTGAATCAGTATTCTTAAATGTAGTTACTTCAATTAAGGACCTTGGTATATTCTTGGACATTAAATTGCTTTTCTGTTTCCATATCAATTCTGTTTTTTCAAAGGCCATCGCAATTACGGTTTATTATTCATAGTGTATTAGGTAGGTCTATTTATATGGCATATATGAGTAGTATTCTCAATTTTGAGTCTATGGTTTGAAATCCCAGGTACAATTCTCACATATATCGGTTGGGAGCCGTGCAGCGCCAGTTTGTGGAATTTCTGGCTCGTAAATTTAATTTGCCGCACTGTTCGTATGAGACGAGATGTAAGGTATTCGGCTTGGTTCTCTACCACTGCAGACGTTTTGTCACTGACATGGATTACTTGTATAAACTTGTTAACGGGTACGTCGATGAGCCGGAAATCTTATCTCATATAGACTTCAATATTCTGCAGTACCAAACTCGTGACTGTTTAGTATTTAGGATACCTCCATCAGCATCAAACGCGTACACCAGTTGTGTGTTCTAAGAAGTTAGGATTCTTTTAATAACTATTGTAACAGCGTTGATCTTTTTTATTCCACTCCACTTTTTTGTTGTATAATTTTTGTTAATGTATTACAATAATTTATTTTTAATTTTTATTTCATTAACAATTATTAATTATTAACAATTTTTTATAATTGTTTATTATTTGTAAACTAAATATGTTTTAGTGGCCTACTATTGAGATATTAGTATAACACTAAAACTAATTCGTTAAATTCGTTTAATGGCTATTTGCTCAAAAACTCCATAAAACTTTCCTAAACGCTTTCTAAAATAGATTGTTCTAAATTGGTGTATGTCTAAATGTGTATAGTTAATTAAATGATGACCACACAATTCCATTTTATAAGTCTTTATATGTAATATACTATATTATTTATTGTTCCCTCTTCCAACTCATAATACACATAGATTTTAAAACTCTGTTTCGAAAAGCTTCACTACAAGCATTACTGTCAATATTTCAATAATTCTGGTACAAAATAGAAATAGTATATCCTACCATAATTTCATGTAGAAGAGGCCTCTCAAATATAAAAAAAACGAACTGAAAACAGTTTAATAAAGCATGTTAACTTTTAGCCTGGAATATTTTGAATTAGTCACAAACAGATATTTCCTTTTTGATCTTCCTCGTAAATTCTTAAAACTATTCAAACATTTATAAATGTTTTGAATGATTTATAAATGTAATAAACTTAATTAATTAATCAGTTGGATAGAAATAGTTTTTAATCTATTTCTATAACATAAAAAGTCTATTTTTACTCAAGAATTTAATAAAAACTTTGCGAAATCATTTTTAATATCTATACTTATGTATATAAGACATTTATGACATTGATAAAATTAATTCATAAATACTGTTAAAACGCTATCTTTTATTGGCTAGCTGTTTCAAACGACAATAACACTGTCAATTAACACTAGCACTGTCATAAGAACTAACACTACACTTGGAACTAGAACTAGAAACATTACGTCTCTTAAAGGGGTATGCCACCTTTGAAATGAAAAAAAATCGATTTCTTTTTGCTTAAAAGTGTTCTTTATACTGTCTAGAATGAGAATCCATCGACAAAAAACATTTGCGGAATGTTTTTCTGCCTAAAAAATTGATTTTTGTAACACATCTCACCGGAAATTCTAAGATTTCTGTAACCACTTTTTGTTTCATTTTTTGTGTTATGGACACTCAGCCCTATGACAGTGTAAAAAGAGTGCGTCGATCACGTTCAGAAACGAATGGGCACACGGTTACGAAATCTAAAAAGAAACACCCGCGGATTAGGAGGCAAAGGAAAATTAACAGGAAAATTAATTGATCGACTTTCCTTATATTATGGATTGTCTATTCGCAGAAATTGCGATTCCGTAAAGGACATGAAAAAAGAGATCTGGGTTACTTTGTATCATAAAATTTCAACAGATGAAACTCCAAAGCATGACAATCGTGCAGTTGGTGCTGACTCGTAGTGTTCCTGGCAAAAAGCGTAAGCTTTGTCAAAAATCGATGAGTACACTCACAAGCCAGCAATCGGCAATGATGTTTTCAACGCAGTGAAACCTGTGCACGAAGAACTATCAAGGGAAGATCTTCTGACAAGATGTTTAGGGAGATATACGCAAAACAGCAATGAAAGTTACAATACCGCGTTATGGTCTATCGCACCAAAAACTATTCATAGTGGCAAGAAAGTGGTTGACATTGCGTCTGATATAGCTGCTTGCAATTTTAATGACGGTCTTACAAGCATTATGGAAATAATGCAAGCGCTGAAATTAACAATAATTGGAAGATCGTGCTTCGACTTTTGTCATGAAACGGATTTAAATCCCATTGCTCGCGTTGAGCGCTCCATGACTGCTGAGGCTAAAGAAGCTCGTAGAAGCCTACTGTCAGACAGAAAAGCTGCAGAAGATGAAAATAAGCTTCAGGAAGGACAGCTGTATGGTGCAGGAATCGCTGATTGGATGTATCTAGAAAAAATATACAAGTTTTTACATTCGAAACCTTTAAACGCGTTTTTCTGGAAATATACATTCTTCAAATTTGTGCACACGATAACTTCCACATTTTTCAACGGATTTTCAAGATTTTTTTTTTCAAAAGTTTGTATTATCTTATTCTAGGTAAGTACGTAGCCGTTTTTCGATATGTCTCAGATTCTCTGTTTTACAATCATTTTTATGTACGTTTTTTATCGATAAATACGACATTTCTTGTAAAATCGTCACCATTTCGTCAAAAAGGAATATTTTTTAAAAATCCTACGTAGTTCCCTAGTTTTTGAGTTTACTAAAGTAATCGTATTCTAGTTTTAATTATTCGACTTACGCGTTAGGAGAAATCCTGCGCACAGTTTGACCCTGCACGATTTGCAAGCCTAACATTACCGACATCTAGCGGGTGCAATTTTAATAACTGTTAATAAATAAAATATGTATTTAAAACTAGAAAAGTGGCTCAACGCGTTTTTAGAAAACTTCTTTCGTCTGATTGCAAAAAAATTTTAAAAATACCTATTATTTTCGGGTCTTCAAGGTGGCATACCCTACTAATTGTAAGACAGAAAGATCTGAATGTTTTTAGTTCTAAATCTAGTGTTAGTTCTTGTAACAGTGCTAGATAATTGTATATTTGTATTGAATTAAAAGTACAACTGACTCTAGATCTAGAACTAGAAACATTTGGATTTAGTCCAATGTTTCTAGTTTTAGGTCTAGTGTTAGCTCTAATTTTAATTGTTATTCAGTGCCAGATTATTGTATATTTTTATTGAACTAAAACTAGAATTAACATTAGATCTAGAACTAGAAACAATCAAGTTTAGCCATCTTCAGAGACGACCAAATAAACCCAAATGTTTCTAATTCTAGATCTAATGTTAGTTTTAATTGTTTGGAAAATGTATGATGCAAATGAGTTAAATTATATGAATGTAATACAAAAAGGAAATAATAAATACCTTAACGAGAGGAAATGGATCAAATAGTTCTTAAACATTTATAACAACTATCAATTGAATTTTGATGATAGATTAAATGGTATGACTAATAAAACAATCCAATTCCATAAAATATTACTCATATAAATTTCATCAAATCTTTACCTTCATAAAAATGTTAAGCAAACCAGAATGAACTTAAAAATGCAAACATAGACGAAATCTAATTAAAATAAATCCACGTATATGAACGAACCAACATACAACGCAAAGTAACAAAACGAAATTACATTATTGATTTAATACAAAAAAATAAACAAAACCCACTGGCTTTCGGCAATATACCCCAAAAGACAACATAATTAATCTAAAAATACCATATTCTCCCACAAAGAACGATGAACAAGCTGGCAAAAAGTTAGAAAAAAATTTATCGGTATGTGTGGTGTATGTTGTATACCTTTGGAATCGCAGTCGACGCAATACTTGTTGTCCTCGTCTCTAAGCAGATCGGTCAGGACTGCCTGGCACTTATCCTGGAGTTGCTTCGCCTTGTCTTTTTCCGTTTTCGAACTCATTGCCGGCACAGTTCTTTCAAAAAAGCTAACCCAAAATCAAACTCAACTTCAGAACTGACAACAAGAAGGGGTGTTTGCCATTACGGACGTCATTCGATTTGCGCTGCGCATGTCAACTACCGTTTCGATTAATGAACGGTGCGCCATCTATCATTTATAGAACAAGAAAAAGATATCTATTTTGAAACTATGTTATTTGTGGATTAAATAAATTATATATAAAATTTATAGTATTCAAAATATTTGTTTAAATAAAATTGATGGCGGAAGATAAATATTTAAATAAATATTTTCAGTTTTTATTGGAATTTAATTGGCGTCGGAGCGCCATCTTTTAATCAATTAGACGAATTAGAATTGTTTAAAAAAAAATATATTATTTTTAAAAGTTAAAAATACAATAAAATGCTAATATTTGTAAAAGAAGTTATGAGTGTTAGTTTAGTTGTGGCGCTATCACTATAAATTGTATAAATATAATTTTTATATGTAATAATAAAGAATGATGTTATTTTTAGATAATTTTAAGATAAATCTAAGAATTATGATTTAATAATATAATTTAATGAATTTAGAGTGGATATTCGATATCTGATTAAAAATTAAAAATATTCTAAAAATAAGTTTATTAGTTTAATATGAATGACTGATTAGAAAAATGATTCATAAGAAGGTTCCATGGTGTAATGGTTAGCACTCTGGACTTTGAATCCAGCGATCCGAGTTCAAATCTCGGTGGAACCTAATTTTTTTTTTTTTTTCAAAGACTATTTTATTTTATTATAATTGTATATGTTACCGCCAATCTGTATAATTCAGGTACTCTATACAATGCCTAGGTAATGTATAAAATACCTGGGGTGTCTAGGCAATGTATGAAATATTATGAAGATTATTACACTAGTTTACAAGAAAAATCTCGAAGACTGTGATATTTTTTTTTATAACGCAGAGTGTTGCTCATGGAAGAACGAATGAAGCAAAGGATTAACGCACCAACATACAAAAGGATAAAGAACGACTTACAAAGAAAAATTTATGAAGCCAAACGAAATGATTTAGATGAGAAATGCCATGAAATATGTGGATAGGGAAGATATAAAGGAGAGGAACAATTTTTTTTGGACTTAAGAGGAGTTCCATCATCCGTTTAGACTGATTCTGGACCTAGTATCATAACAGATAAAGCCAAAATCACCATGCACGAATTAAGAGAATGAAAAGTAACGGGACTAGACGGATTGTACTCAGTATTGTTCAAGCTTCTTGACGACAGATCCATTAAATTCTTGACTGACTTATCTAATAATATCTATAATGCTGGAAACATTCCAAATGAATGGGTCATCTTTGAGTTCATACCGCTGCTAATGAAATAGGGACCTAAGGCATCAATATCAAAGTCGAACTATTTAGATGTAACTAACAGGATAGTGATGGAGCGAATTTGGAAGGACTTGGATCTTCGACATATTATGAGAAACAGATACTAATACCGCGTTTTGAGATCCGTCCTGTAAAGGAAAGTGTATGGTAGAAAAAAACCAGGAAAAAGAAGGATATCATGACTTAAAAAGTTAAGGGCATGTGTTTCAAAAACTACTAGGGAGTTATTCAGAGCTATTATATTATTCAGAGATCAATAAAGTTATTATATCTAGTATGATAATATTCGAAACGAATAGACACCAGAAGAAGAAGAAGAAGATCAAATTGTTATACAGAAAATTCTTTGCCAAAATTTTTTATTTATCTACAATCAAAATATATACAATACTATACTTTTTTAAACCGTGCATACTATGTCAATAAAAGTTTTTAGCCATATCATCATGATGATAAGTTTGACGATGAGTTAAACTAAATCTCTTTACAAGAAAAATCTCTAAGACTGTGATATCTTTTTTATAACGCAGAATGTTGTGTTGATTCTGAAACTGTCTTCAGTTTTTCTCGATCACATCCAGTTTTTGAGATATACCCAAATGAGTGGACAATCGTAAATTAAAAAACATAGTAACGGTTCATGTTCAGTATATTTTTTTTATTTTATAGTGTGCTTCTGTAGCTATATGGACATGAAAGTAGAGATTCAGACGAACATTTTGAGGTATTGATGGCATAAATCGGACTCTCCGTTATTTTGCTACAGCCTAAAACAACTCAACAAAATCAAATTTTTTGGCATTTTTCCCATTTTTTAACACTTAATCGCACCGTAACGAAAAAGAATTTTATATGAACACAAAAGTTAGCTATTCTATCCTGTAGAACAGTTAATTCTCTTAATTTCGAAGCATTGGACAGCATGGTCGAATGTATTTTACCGGAGATATCGTTAATTTACGACAATCGTGCAAAATTTCATTTTTTGCCATTTTCACTGTATTCTTGAAACATTATTACGATTTTTTTTAATAAAGAGGTATTTTAACGGTTCCAGGCACTAAGTATAAACATTAAATTCACTGAAATCAATATTATTTTACCTGTTCTAAATGTTGAACATTAAGCATATCAAATAATTATAATTTATTGGCTGTCGTTTCTAGATGACATTTCTCCACTGTCACTTTTACTCTTATAACTTTTTTTTACTCTTTTACTGGATTGTATTAATTGGTCAGAAGGATTTGGTTTTTTCACTAGTTTTTTCAATAGTTTCACTATGCGCACTCGGGTTTTTGGCTGATCTTACAAACGATACCAAACTTTTATTTTCTTTTTATTACATACTACTTTAGTTATTGTTAGTATAGTACGGTATATGATTACTTTTTGACAATTTTTTGTATGTCTTTGGGTCGATTTCTCTGATAACACTCCAGAGATAATCTCCCATCATCCCTGCATCCCAGTAACCTTGATAACGTCTTTCCAATGCCATTAAGTGTTGATGGAACCGCTTGCCTTGTTCGTCACTTTCTGCTCCAAGATTGCTTGGAAAAAATCTAACAATAAGTGCGAATGGAGAAAATGGATTTTGTGCGTCATATTTGCATTTATGGCTTCGTAATTGTGCAATAAGTTGGAAATTATTTCGCGATAATTCTCATCCTTATGGTTTCCTAAAAATCCATGGACGATTTATTTGAAGCTAATCCACGTCGTTGCTAATATTGACATTATTATTGAATATTATTATTGAATCGTTGTTATTTATTAATTTTCTTATTTGAGGTATTTGACGGTACTTTAAAGTACCGGTAGTTTTAAACACTCATTTTAAACTGTAGTCATCTATTCGGCGCATTTAGAGCTGTCGGTTACTTTCTACTATACAAGAAAGAATCTGTATAAAAAATGACACAATCCGCACTGTAGGGTTTTTAGGTATATTTAAACTTATTCGTCCAGATGTAACCAGAGATTATTACAGATCATTTTAAAAAGAAAGCATTGAGCTTTAATTTAGAATAAGTCTCATTCCTTAATTTCAATAAATACGGCTTCCAGGAGTTTTTAAATCAGCATCTTTTTTGATAGTTTTAGGTTATACGAAAATGTAAGTTTTGTTTCAACATTTTTTTTCTCAATATTTTTCCAATCCAACCCAACAATTATTATACATCATTTTAAAGAGAAAGCTTTGAGCTTTAATTTAGAATAAATTTCATTCCTTAATTTCAATAAACACAGCTTCCAGGAATTATTAAATTAGTATCTTTTTCGACACTTTTAGCTTATACGAAAATGTAAATTTTATTTCAACATTTCTTTTCTCAATATTTTTCCAATCCAACCCAACAATTATTATACATCATTTTAAAGAGAAAGCTTTGAGCTTTAATTTGGAATAAGTCTCATTCCTTAATTTCAATAAATACAGCTTCCAGGAATTTTTGAATTTGCATCTTTTTTGACACTTAGATTATGCGAAAATGTTAGTTTTTGCTCAATATTCTATCAGATTTTCATCGTTCTGTAAATACAGGTCTGATAAATAAATATTCAAATTTACTGCGTCCACGAAAATGTAGCGCAAGTTCAAAAGAAAGAGGAAGTTGTGAAAATTGTTCTGCCAAAGCTAGACCCCACTCTAAATGTACTGCGTGCAATGTTTATTTATGTTGTAATGAAAGAAAGAACCGTTTTTCTGAATGTGATAATATGATTTAGATAAAGCCAGTGTTACTTATTTTATAACGTAATAAAAAATGTATTATTTTTATATTAGCAATAATAGTTTTTGTATACTGAAAATATATTTTAATGCTTGACGGTACTCTCAAGTACCATTATCCCCCTGGAATGGGGGAATTGCATATTTTGGTAAAATTGATTCCTTGGACCTCTACTGAGTGTATTTTGATAGTGTTTTAATTCTGTCACAAAGTTTCAACATTTTTGGGACACAAAGGGTTAAGGCCCATTTTTGTCACCTCCTGATAAATTTATTCAACTTTAAAAATGGATTGCTGCAATAGTGATGAGTCGTGATGATTTATAATTTTATCATATTTTGTATAACCCTGTTGTTCTAATGATAAATATGACATCAGTCCACAATGCTTTTCTTATTTAAAATTATTTAAAAAAATATTAATAAAATTATAGGGTTAAATAAATTCATACCAAAGTTTAGATAAATTTTTTGTGAATTGAAAAATAAATAAGATAGAAAACGCCACAGATATGAATTATTATTATTAATAAATAAACGTACTAAATACAATTAGTATTATGTAGTAGAAATTACAAATTACGCCATGACAATGAAACTCAGGCTGCTAGTCACGTGCACTGCGCTTAGATTAACATATATTTGCCATATCATGGGACCGTGTGTGTGGTTTTTTCCTTTTTTTATCTTTATAAATCCTGTAATCGTTTCAGGGGAGGGGGGAAACAGGACGACAGAAAATTCAGGGGAATGTGCGGATTATCGTTCCTCTAATATCACAGTTTCTTTCGGACATAATTTTAAGTCCTGCAATGTCTTTGTGTTATCCAGGGTAGTCAACTGAAAACAAACAATTTTTAAAAACCATTTTCTTACAAAACAAAGTCTTACGTCTCGTCTAGGCCAGCTAGAAATCACTTTATACTCGTTATTTGGGTATCCTTGTACCGTTAAGTAATCCAAAAGAACTTTCAACTGCGTGTTTGCCAGGAACCTTCTTTCTAAATTTTTACCATTTGGCAGTCGAAATCGGATTTGCGTTATACTATCACCTTGTTCTGCTGAAGGTTCCGGCGGTAAACTTGCTTCCACTTCACGACGATATGCTTCTTTTTGGGCCAACTTTTCCGAACGTTCAGTTTCAACGCGTAATTTTTCTTTTGCCTCTGCTTCTGCTATTAAACGTTTAGCTTCTTCCTTCGCTCTACAAAAAATAATAATGGAATTTATAAATAGTTTGATTAACAAAACTTTTTAGTTTAATTATTTATCAATTTTATATATAATTACTCTTTTTTATCTAAAGTAGATAACAAGAAAAAGCCGAAACTTACCGATCCGCTTCCAAACTTTCCCTATAAGCCATATCTTGTTCCCATTTAACAAGTTCCCTCTCAGCTCTTTCTTGTTCTTCTTTTACTTCAACTCTTTGTTGATCAGTGAAGACATCAACAGCTTCAATTAAACTTGAAAGTAATTCGTTTATACCCACATTACCTAATTATTGAAGACAAATAATGAAAAGAATTAAATATTTACCAATACAAAGAGTAATCTATAATCAAATAAACGAAGAGCAAACGTGAATTTGATATGTTAAAGTATTACAATTTAATTCTATTTATCTTTTTCCAACTCTTTGAATAATTCTTCTCTAATCACTTTGCCTATCCTATGAATTATTACTAATTGAAATAAAATAAATTACTTTTGCTCTGTGTCTATTAGTTTTGATTCACCTATATAATAACTACTAACCATAAATAACACTGTAAATATCTGTTGATGATCTAACTTTCATAATAATAATAATAGCGGGTAACTTATCGACAGGGATGTCTCTCAAAGACATTGCAGCTGTAGCCCCCATACAATTACTAACGGAATTCTGTAACCTTGTGCGATTGCTTTCAAACGTTAAGTCCCAACCCCAGAAAACGAAGTTTCTCTCAATCACTTGCATCACGCTTTCAACTCCCAAAAGTTGAGTGCAAAATACGTTTGAAAGTACGCTCGAATCGTGATGTAAGTAAATACCCAGGATTTTTTTCTGAAATTGAATAAAAATTATTTATTGATAAAATTTGAGAAAAAAATTATGAATTTACGTCTTTAGCTGGTCTTTGACAAGCTTCCTTAAGTGCATCCTCGAGCGTTCCCTGATAAAACTGAGGATGTATCGCACCATAACGTGTACTGAATCTTTCCACAAAACTTATACTGCCAACTATTTCATCTTCAATCATTTCTGGAACTATATAACAATAACAAATTAAATTCGTAGCATACAGTTATCTTTAGAATATACATGACTACATTGAGGTCTAACATTTATTTCACAAAATTTCAGGTATTTTGGTAATAATAACAAGTTTCGCAACAATATTCTTAAGAGTTGGAATGTTTTATAATATCTAAAAAGAGCTACTATGTTGAAAATTACTTCAGATGAAATATCATATTAATTGACAATTAGTAAGTACACAAATACTAATTCTTTTCATACCAAATAGATGAATGGTGGTTCAATGAGTTTGGTAATGATAACAGTAACACCCAGAATAATATGTCAAGTGAGAATCAAGTTGAAGATCAAGATTATTGAACAAGAACGAAGAGAAGCGGCTGTTTTGTATACAAATGTGTTGTTGTTGTCAAAAGATAAAAAAAAGAAAATCAATGCCAAATCGCTCGTTCTACGACTTCTACCTCCTTTTCTTCCAGATAAGGTCATTGAAATGTTGAATTTGTATGGCGTTCGTCGATATAGAGACATTTAGTTGGCTTTTGATGTAATTACAATGCGTGCTTACTACTGATTACTGCTATTAGCTGATGTTCATTGTTTGAAGGGCGAATGTATTGAAGAATTGTATGAGAAACATGCGGCCCAATATTCTCTGCAACTTTAGTAATTAGTAATGTTGGACACTGCAGATAATAATCAAGTTCAACCCCAATAGAACTTTTTTCATTGAATACAACTTTATTTATATCAGGTTTGTCATTAGCAACCTCATTGTAACAATCCCAATACAATACTGGGTGTCCCTCAGAAGTGGCTCACCCCTATATTTTTTTTTATTATTAGTGATATAAGAAAACCATTTAGAATGAGTAGTTAGACCGTTAAAACGGATTATTACGACATGAAATCATTCTCTTTGTACTTCCGGTTATACTGGATGTGAGTACTAATTTCGCTATTTTCTTAAATCTATAATTTTTTTTTCTTCAGTTGGGCAGACAGCATAATTTCACATAACTTTTACTTGAAAACATTTCCATGATCGCTTATAATTTAAAAAAAAAAAATTATTTTCGTTATTTTTTAACGTTTTAGTACCTTCGGAAAATGTATTACAACTTTTGACGCATAGTAGCTAAGTTAATAGTATAAACTACGTTATGTCCCTCTTGATTTGCTATTTCTCGAGCAGTGATCACTGCTATGCTTTACTCAGTGGTTCTTTTTTAATAATGGTGTAAATTAACAGTTGTATTAAATTACTTTTAAAAGAAAAACGCTATACAACAGTTAAATTTAATTCAATTATAAGTTCTTTTTTAATTTAATCCTCGATTTTGACATAATTGTATCTTGCGTATTGTCGATCTAACGACTCAACGTTATTCCTGCGGAGATATTTAGGTAATACAATTTCTAACTCGATTTATTTTCTAATGCCTCACGAGACCTTAGTGGTGTATTATACAGCTCATTTTTGATTTTGCCCCATAAAAAAGAATCTAAAGGTGTGAGGTCAGGTGACCTAGAAGGTTCTAACTAAAATAAAATAAACAATCCAAATTATAATGTACAGGTGTCCAAATTTCGATGGGTTTGCAGGGTATATCAGTTATTATGAAAGATAGAAAGTTGCGGCTTTCGCGAACGTAAGCTACTTTTTGTGAAACTTACAATGGCGTAAACCAAATTTTCATAATCCTCTTCGTTTTTAGGGAGAGTTTCAAAATTTACGATTTTCAGACACCTCCTGTATCTCGGCTATCCGTAAACGTAAAAACTGGTTCTAATAGATTTCACGTAGAATCCATTATAATCCGTTATAAAGAGCTGAGTATTTTAAAAGTTGAGTATTCAGTATTTGAGTTGTGTTTATAACTCAAAAACCGTGATGACTAGAAAAATTCTACGTGCACCATTGGATTCCACGTGAAAAAATCTATTAGAACCCGTTTTTACTTTCTTACTAAGTTTCCGGATAGCCGAGATACAGGAGGTGTCTGAAAATCGTAAATTTCAAACACTCCCTGTATATCAAAAACGAA